CGCACAGAGAGGGAGAGAGAGAGACAGGGAGAGGGACAGAGACAGAGAGACAGAGAGGGACAGAGACAGAGAGACAGAGAGGGACAGAGACAGAGAGACAGAGAGAGACAGGGAGAGAGAGGGAGAGACAGACAGAGCGGGAGAGAGACAGACAGAGAGGGACAGAGAGAGACAAAGACAGAGAGACAGAGGGAGAGAGAGAGACAGTGACAGAGAGAGAGACAGAGTGAGTGAGAGAGAGAGAGAGAGAGAAGGGGGAGAGACAGAGTGAGTGAGTGAGAGAGAGAGACACACACAGAGAGGGAGAGAGAGAGACAGGGAGAGGGACAGAGACAGAGAGACAGAGAGGGACAGAGACAGAGAGACAGAGAGAGACAGGGAGAGAGAGGGAGAGACAGACAGAGCGGGAGAGAGACAGACAGAGAGGGACAGAGAGAGACAAAGACAGAGAGACAGAGGGAGAGAGAGAGACAGTGACAGAGAGAGAGACAGAGTGAGTGAGTGAGAGAGAGAGACACAGAGAGACAGAGGGAGAGAGAGAGACAGTGACAGAGAGAGAGACAGAGTGAGTGAGTGAGAGAGAGAGACACAGAGAGACAGAGGGAGAGAGAGAGAGGGACAGAGACAGAGAGACAGACAGAGAGGGACAGAGATGGAGAGAGAGACAGAGAGGGAGAGACAGAGACTGAGGGACAGAGAGAGACAGAGGGAGAGAGAGAGACACACACAGAGAGAGACAAAGAGATAGAGGGGGGACAGAGAGAGGGAGAGACAGAGACTGAGGGACAGAGAGAGACGGAGAGGGAGACAGAGAGGGACAGAGGGACAGAGACAGAGAGGGAGAGAGAGAGACAGAGGGAGAGAGACGGGGGACAGAGACAGAGGGAGAGAGACAGAGGGGGGAGGGGCTCCTGAGAGTCCAGGGGTGACCGTGTACCTAAAATATGAGGGAGCGTGATGCCTGATGGGTGTCTCAGCTATGACAGATGTCCTGAAGTTTAGGGACTCCAGATGAAAGGCAATGACGCCTTGGAGATGGCTCTGTGGGTGAAGTGTGTGCTTTGAAAGCGTGCGGACCTGAGTCTGGACCCCTGGGCCCCATGTAACC